GCCGGGTCCCGGGGAGATTCCCCCAGCCCTGCCCCCTTGCCTCCCCAGATTTTGGGGACCCGATGGGATTGTAGGGCCATAGCGAAGGGTTGTGGCTGCCCGTGGCGCCAGGGATAGCAAATTTCGCCGTAGGTGCTAAGCAGGGTGAGCAGAAGGAGGGGACTTTATGGACTTCCTTAGGGGCTTAGGAAGTGAGGCTGAGGTGGGAGCAAGAGTTCCTGGGGAGCTGGGAGTCCCCAGCACCTCCACAGACACTCCCAACCCCGCCTGCAGGATGGATTTTGCTTGGTTTTCCTGGGGAATCCACAAATGGGCATTTCAATTCTTACTCTTTCAGTCAGATATTGGTGCTAAGAATGATGGTAATTACTCACAAACTTCTGGAAAACCTGTCTTGATTTTCAACCAGTTCTAAAGCAAAGTGAAAGTCTTCCAAACCAGAAGAAAAATGCCTCCAATGCCCACAGGGAGAAGAATTGCTTTAAAGAAGGAAATTCACATTTCCCACAGTGCCTGTGACAACACGTGTGCCCACAGTGGGCAATCAGAGCCCTTCCCCACAGATGTCCCTGGTGCTCTTTGCCCATCCAGCTCTCCCTAATCAGGCTCTTCAGGGGCCCCAAACAGGTAGAAGGGTTTGGCAACATCCCTCTCTGCAGGGACAGAGGACGACAGTGTGTCTCTGTACTGGCCACACCTCATGTCCTGGGTTCAGTTTTGGGATTGTCATGACAGAAAGACTTTGAGAGGCTGGAACACCAGGAGAGGCTGAGAGAGCCGGGAGGGCTCAGCCTGGAGAAAAGGAAGCTCAGGGGGACTCTTCTGCCTCTGACAATCATGTTTATGGAGCAGGTTTTGCTGGCACTTAAGAGCATATGCAGGTTGTGCTGTGTCCATCTCATGTAACTGCTGTGGTGGGGAGGCATCTAGCAAAGTCCTCAGCATCACACTGAGAGTGGAACTGGGACATCCAGGAGTACTGCTGAAACCCCTCACACCACCAGTGCCCACAGATGTCCCCAGGAGGGGACACTTCTCATCCCTTTAGGAGGTGTAAAACTGCAGCAGGACCATGGGACTGAGCACCTAACAGAGCACAAGACCCAGTGCACTTAACCCAGGGAGGATGCAGGGCAGTGAAAGCCCCTGTTTGTCACTCCCCAGCCACTGCCAGAAAGTCCCTTAAATGGCCTTTTCCACAATGAAAAATAAGAAATGTCTGTCATGAAGGAGATGGGAATATTTTGTATGCTGTGTGAAATCAGAGCAAGTGACTCCCAGGCAGATCACTGTCTCAGGCACTTCTGCATTGCACTGTCAGCTTTCACCCCTGCAGCCACTTTGCAGAGCTTTGCCTGATTAAAATTATCTTCACAGGGAGGCAGACGAGGGAATCCATTAAGAATGACTGTTTCAAACGTCCATCCAAGGGTCTCCAATTGCAGTGGACTTTGTGGGCAAGGGTTCAGTTCTCTGCCCTGGGAAAACACTTCTCATGGGTGAGTTGGAGGAGATGTCTGTGTTTACCAAAATTTCTGCTGCTGTGAGGAAGATCTGGCCCTGTATGGGAACAGCACAGCGTTATCTGGGCACTTGAGGCTCTCCCACTCTTCCAGCATTGAAACCATCATGCAGAACCACTGGTGCACAGAAGTCTGGGTGATGTCCCCACAGAGACAAGGTAAAAGAGTCAATGAGGAGATTATGAGCTGAAAGAAACATTATCCAGGAGGTTGTGGGCTGCTGCAAGTAACAAAATGTGGAGTTATACCCTTTCTTTGCCAATAGCAGTAGCTGCTCAGGTTGATTCATTTGGGCAGAAGCTGCCCTGGACTGTGCTGGTCATCCAGACCTTTTTATCTTCATTAGCTTGCCATTGACAAGACCAATAATGGAACTGTGGGGAACACAGCAATAGAGGTTTTCTTCCTGCTCAGGAAGATTTTGCAGTTTGGAGTTTGGGCTGTGCAGAATGAGCCACCAGCTTGGGTGTTTTGTTTGTTGACTCTACTGGAATGCTTATGATTATCATCAATGTGATTTCTGATTTCAGGAGGTTCTTTCCAGTTTTTTCTCTCCCTTACTGACAAACATTGTTGCCACCCAATAAGTTTCCCCTTATGTGAGAGATGAGGATGGTTCCTCATCTCTCACAGCAAGTGAGGATTTCTTACCTTGTTTTGCAAACAGCTTCCTCTGGTTCAGACTTGGCTGGTGTCCCTCTCTTCATCAGTCTGTTTGTAATAGAATGGTCACCCAAAGAAAAGCCTCTTCCAGCCTTGATGTTTCACTCAATCTTTTGGTATCTCACATCTACATTTTTCTGGGAAAGGAAAGACTTTGGGGGCATCCAGCCCCAGCCCAGGCCTGTGAGGTAGCTCCAGGGCAGGGGAAGTGCAGGCTGTGGGTAATGCTTGCACAGCACATGGATGCTCAGGTAGGAATTACATCTAAGCCCGCTAAGCCACAGGATTCTCATCCAACAGCTTTCCATGACTCATGTCCTCAGGAGACCCCAGGCCTGGCTTGCAGAGCTGGGTGTCACAGCTTCCCAGGACAGCAGGTTTGGCCTGGGGCCTGGCTTTTTGTACTGGGGTGCACGTGATGTCTCCAGGGGCTCAAGTGATGGCATTTTCCTTTCAGACTTTGCAGAGTAGCAGGAGACATTTATGGTGCTGTCTGACATAGGAGGTTTCTCATTTCTCATTTCTCCTCTGGGAAAATGTTCAGAGAACAAAAAATAATAAATTTTAAAGGACATAGTAGTCTTTTTTTCTAGTTTTGAGAAGTTGTTTCTCTGTTTGTTAAAGAATTCACTATGTGGAAGAAACCGTGTCTGGTATGGTCCCAAGTCCATCATCTCCAAGTCCTCCAACAACTTGCACAGAGTGAGAGAGACTCTGGAAATAAGGCCAAGAAATGGGCTCAGCTCAAATCCTCAGCCTGTTGTGCCCATGACTGCTGGTCTGTGGTGGGCATATGTCCTGGGCCATTTCCTTGGACAGGATGGAGCTCTGGGCTTTCCCTGCCTCTCCTGAAGCCTAAACATCCCCTTCCCTATCTGATCTAGCATTCCAGCTCCAGCCTAGTTGCAGAGGGCTTATGGCTGGAAAAACATGGCTAAAATTAATTTGATTTGAATAGAGGGGCTGAAGACACTGGAGAGTAGGAAATGAACATGCTGGGCTTGTGTGTTGGGGCTCAGGGCACTCCAGAGCAGCCCCTGTACCCTGGAGGGAGCTGCAGTAGTGGCTAGCAGATGCCAGAACTGCCAGCTCTGCATGGCACCGAGTTCCCACCACAGACCCTGCTCCCAGGAACCAGCCACTGACAGATCTGTAGTTCATGAGGGTTCACTCACCTTCCTGGACACTTGGAAGTGTCTGGTGTTTCAGTCTGGGCTATTCATGCACAGCAGTAACTTGGAGAGGAATTTGTCTGATCCCTGATGTTCCTAACTGCTGATGGGAATCATTGTCCTCAGCTGGTGTCTCTGCCACAGACAAGGAAGGAATCCTGAGTGAAGGATGCAGCTGAAGACCAAACTCAGGCAGTGCTGAGTGCAGTGCATGGTGCAGTTGGGAAATCGGGAAATGGAGCAGAGAGCTGAGATGATGTGTCTGAATGCAGTCGCTGCTCCCCTCACACTGCCAGGCCGCTCCTGTAGGCAAAGAAGAGGCAAATTGGTTATTTCTGACAGCATAAAGGCAGCCCCTCAGCAGCCCCTCAGCAGCCCACTCGCTGGAGGAGCAGTGGGGCACCACCAGGGCCCTGGCCCCCACTCCTCCCATGCCTCCAGCAAACCTGCAGAGCTGGGGGCACCTTGTACCTTTGGCTTCTGCTCGTGGCAGGGTTTCAGTGTCACAGCCATGGTGGGAATTCACACACGTCCCCATGGCCTCATCCTCACCAGGATGGGCAGCACTGTGGCTCTCACCAGTGCTGCTGCTGGTGTCAGCCCTCAGTGTGGTAGGGACTCTGATGGAGCCAACCCCCATTTGGGAGTCTGAGTTCCTGCCACGCAGCAGGCTCGCTGCTCCTCTTTCCTTCTATCCCTTTGCTGCTTCTGCTGTGATCCTGTGGCCCTTGTGTCTCTCACAGTGCCTGGGCAGTGGGACACAGCGAGGTGACAAATCCCTGCACACCAGGACTGTTATTTATTTACTGTCACAGCCTCATTGGGCCTCTGTTGAGCCTCTGAGCTCTGTAGCCACTTCTCCTTTTTGTTTTTCATCTTCTCACATTTTTATAGACACTGTGTTTTCACATCTTCTGTTTGTTTTGAATGCTGGGAGAGACGGACACACCACGGCGAATTCCCAGCCTGGACCATGCTGGGTGAGGCAGGGCCAGGGTGTGAAGGCTCCTGCTGGGAGTGTGGTCACTCTGCTCGCTGGTCACTCTGCTTGCTGGTCACTCTGCTGAGTGGTCACTCCGTTCAGTGGTCACTCTGCTCGGTGGTCACTCCGTTCAGTGGTCACTCTGCTCAGTGGTCACTCTGCTCGGTGGTCACTGCTCGGTGGTCACTCCGTTCAGTGGTCACTCTGCTCACTGGTCACTCTGCTCGGTGGTCACACTGCTCGGTGGTCACTGTGGCTGCGGCCCCCGGGGAGGACACGGAGCCCTGCGTGGGTCAGCCTGGCAGGAGCAGCTGGCAGAACTGCTCCCAGCCAGGGCTGTGGGATCTGTGCTGATCCTGGCATGGCTCTGTTGGAAGTTTCCTCCCAGTGCCCCGGGAGTGCCCACTCTCTGCCATTCAGGCCAGCAGACCCAGCCAGATGGGGGTCCAGGCTGAGCAGTCGAGGGGACCCTTGTGCCCAACAAGGCTCAGCTCACAGGGTGGCTTTGGGCTGGACTGGGCAGAGCAGGAGCTGCAGGAGCAGCTGTGGGCACTGCTGGCTGTGCTGCTGTGGGTGCTGGCTGGAAGCTGCCACTTGGACAGGAATTTGTCTGTCCTGACTTCCCATGGGATTTGTTAGGCTCCAGTTCTGGGTGATGCTTAGACAAGCTGACAGTGTTCTAGGACCCAAAGGATACCCCACCAGCACCCTCTCCTTAGCATTCATGTTAAAACAAGGACTTCCATGCCCACCTTAGCAGGTCCAGCACGTGGTTATCTTGTGTCTTGTCAGCAGTGCAGAGAGTCCTCTGGGGTTCAGGCCAAAAATTTGGAGCCTTTTTAATACTTTGTGTGGTTGTCTGGCTTTGTTCTCTGCCGCCAAGGTCACTGAACCTGGGCTTGGTGTGCTGCAGGAGGGAATCTCACAGCATCACGGTGGTCCCACCTCTCACAGCTAGCCTCTCCTTGACCACATGGAGGACCTCCTCCCTTTGCTTCCCACATCCCCTGCTGCTGTTGGGGAGCACATCCTATTTGTGGTGGACCCCCAAGGGTGGTTCCTTCTGTCTGGCTGTCAGTTTGTCAGATCCAGATGGTGTCATTTGGGGTTTTTGACCAATTCTTCATACTTCTGTGGTTTTGTTTCTGCTGTTGCTTCATCTCACATGCCCTTCAGAGCAGCCCAGGGATTCACCAGGGTAAAGGCAGGCTAAGTATGTGCTTGCACATGCAGGAAGGGCAGGAGGGGCAGGAAGGGCAGGGAGTTGGGAGCAATCACTGACTTGGAGCACAGCATGGTGCCCAGAGCAGAGCCTTTGCCCCTGGGCTGGCAGAGACAGGCCCACATTCCCTGCTAGCTCTGCCTGGTGAGGAGCACAGGGACAGCAGGATGGGGATGCACCACCTTCCATCCCTACTAGAGCCTCCAATAGGTACCAGCAGCCTCCCTGCCCACAGGGACCTTGGCTTTCCTCTCCTTCCCACAGAAAGCTCAGGGAAAGGTGAGGCTTGGCTCTGAAGATGCCACCCCTCCAGTGCTCCAAAAGGGCCAAGCACTGCAGTAGCCATGGGGTGGCTCTTGGGAGGATCTTCCTGGGGAATGCTGTGGCCCTGAGGAGCATGGAGTCTTTGGTAGTGTGTCCCTTTTGTGGTGCCTTGGCCTTGTGCTGGTTCTGAATAACCGAGAGCAAGGCTTGGGGGCTTCATCCTGTGAGACCACCAGACCAGCTCAGCTGGGAGCATTTGTGCCCCTTCACTTTCCCCCTGCTCTTGTGACACAAAGAGCAAAGCTGCCAGTTTGCCTGTAATGACCTCTGTGCCCTCCAAGCCTAACCCCTTCCTTGGAAAGACAAAAATCCCATTGCCTTGCACCTCCATCTGTTTAGTGAACAGTTTAACCTAACAAGATTAGCATTTGAGGTCAGCTCTTCTGCTTTTACGTTTTTCCCCCGCCGTTTGCAAAGAAAACAGCATTGGATTTGGGACAAAAGCTCAAAACCCCTCATTTGTAAGTAGCACAGCCTTTGGAAACTGTTTTGTTCCAATGTTATCTGGGGAAGGGCTTGTGAATCCTCTCCTAAGGCAAACAGGAGCTGGCCAAGGGGATCAGCCCCAGGAAGGATGGAGCCAGCATGCAGCATCACACCCAGAGCTGGAGAAATTCCAATGGGTTATTCCTCCCAAGGAAGTTTGTGAGCAGAGAGGATGCAGTGCCAGGGAGGGGCTGTAGTGAGGTGGTTGAACAGGAGTGAATCAGAACATTCCCTGTTCCCCCACAGACACCCTCCAGTGATGTTCCAGCACACACCTCCATCCTGTTGGGAACACATGGGGAGTACAGGCACATCCCTGATGAAGGAAGCCACAGAAGGAGAGGATCACAGAGTCTTGGGACTCTTAAGGTCAGAAAAGACCTTTAAGATCATCAAGCCCATCCATGATCATCACCATGGTTCACCACTAAACTATGTCCTCACATGCCAGGGATGCTGACTCCACCACTGCTCTGGACAGCCTGTTTCAGGCCTTTGCAGCATTTTCTGTTAAAAAAACTCCTAATATCTAATCACGTGAGAGCAGTGGGTGGCAAAGCTGAAGTAACCTGTGAGGGTGCACAAGTGGATCTTTCAATGCGTGTGTTTACTTCTTCCTTAACCACCAGCACATCCCACCAGGAACCCCTTCCATCAGGCTGGGCCCGCACCCCACCAGAGCCTGGCACTGCCCAGGGAGGTGCCAGCCTGAAGAGTCCCCAGGGACTCATCCACCAGAGTTGGGGGGGAAAAGGTAAAGGGTTTGATTTTCATTCTCTGGGACCGTTTTCCCCTCCCTCTTCTCCCGCCCACCCCCTCCCTTTTCGCCACATTGTGCTGAGCTTGAATCGGGCCTTCACAAAGGGGATTAGGGGCTGGTTGCTGATAAATAGGAAAGCAGGTTGGAAGCGTGGGAACCAGCCATAGCGCAGCACGGAGGGACATTCCTGCTCCGGAGGGCCGGGCGGGAGCAAAAGTCCGGGCTAACCCCGGGTCACCCGGGGGAACCCAGCTCCTGAGAAGATTTGTTCGGACACTGGCTTTTGTTGTGCACAGTTCCGTGTCAGCCCAGCATGGCTCTCGCCGCTATTGATGGGAAGGAAAGTGCTATTGTCCGGCGCCTGAGGGCCCCCCTTTCACTCAGCGCTCTCGGGGTGACGTCAAGGAGGGACGTGGGAACCCGAGCAGGCAGCCCAGAGTGGTCCCAGCCCTGTCCCATGTCTGCCTAGGCGAGCAGGGATGTTCAGGGGGTCCCTGGGAGCTGAGCTCTGCTCTCCCTGTGCCAACTATCCTGCCCAGGTGGGATGGATCCTCCTGCACACAGCTGGGTGGGAACGTGGAAGGTTCTTTTTTTAATCTCAGCTTTTTTTTATCAGAGAAATTTCCCAGAGGAAAGGGATGATCTTGCCAAAAACTTCCTTCTGGGGAATGTCTGCTGGATTGAGAGCATGACCACCCAGTCCTGTGAGTCCCAGGGGTGTCTGTGGTGTCCACTTCCACCCCAGCTCACACCTGCTGGTATGCTGAGCATCCCTCATTCCGATGCTTTTAATCTCCACCTGGAGACCCCAAGACAGGTGGGAGAAGAGCCCGGGATTGGTGTAACCCTTGGTCCAGCTCCTGCTCTGGCCTCTTTTCAGGAAGAGGCTAGGCAGGGAATTTCCCCATGAGCACTGTGGGCTGGTGCATTGAAGCTGCTTGGAGCAGCCAAGTGAAGATCAGCTGCTTTGCATCTGGTTCTGAGGCTGGAGCAGCAACAAGGAGCATCTGGGGACAGGCAGCACGCCAGGGAGGGAGCCTGCTGGGAAAATCCCTCCTTTCCCCCCGTGACCTGACAGCAAGGATCTGAAGGTGACCTTGAACCCTGCAACTGGTCCTGGCTGGGCTCTGCATGGCTCATCCACCAGCCCAGGCTCAAAAAGGGAGCTGAGCACCAAGGCTGGGACTCGCTCCCAGCCCTTGCTCCTCCTCTGAAGCCCAATTTTGCTGTCAAAGGCTCCAGCATGGCTCTGGTAGCCTCATAGGGTCAAAAAAGCTCAAAGGAGCTGAACCAAATGGTCTATACAGCCATATCCACATGTATATGGATGTGGACCAACAGGCTTTGTGTCTAGCAGGGAGGCAAAGGGGGAGAGTGACAAATATTTGCTGCTGGCAGTCCTGTGTCGGCGTTCCACCACATCAGAAGGGAAAACAGAAGGCTCCCCTATGAGCTGTGATTGCCCCAAAGAAATGGGGCAGCTTCAGGCACAGTGAGATCATGGCTGCTTCACTGCTGAGAATGCACAC